ATTACGTACGGCGCTGCATAATGGAGAGAAGCCCTCCTTGTCTTCTTTGTCCATATTAGCTCCATGGCTGAGTACAAATTTCGTTGCTTTAAGACGTCCGAGTGATGCAGCAAGATGTAAAGGTGTTTGTCCATCTAGATTTGTCTTTTCCAAATCAGCACCTTATTCTATGAGATACTCAGCGACGGTTATACGGTCTCCATTCACCGCATTATGTAAACTTGTGTTTCCATCTTGGTCTGTCTGGTTTATGTTAGAACCCTGTTTTAGCAATTTTTTGACGTTTTTTATTTTACCCCTCAATGCTGCTTCATGGAGCTGTTCATTTATGTCCTCCATACTTGAAGAAGCACCGGTTTACCAGACTTCCTAATCTAGCAAAGTTTCTTGTGATCGTCTACTTCTCTCATTACGCTCGACTCGAAATACGATTACGATTCTAAATCTCTTCTAGCAGATAAACCAAATGAATTCTGCATGTTAAAAGGAGCATACTCATACTCCCTGAACACACTGATTCTTTGTTCGCACTGGGCAGTTGTTATTTTTGTCGTTTTTAACAAGTGCCAAAGTCCTATGCAGTGAACTAAACCGTAATTCGAATATCTGTCATTCCTCTACCACTGTTTGGCTTCTCTTGTTCCTTCTCTTTATATTTCGGCAATCATCAATATTTCAATAGATATCTAGCGTATGCAAATAAAGGGTGCCAACGTTTGTTATGTTCGTCTAATCAAGGAGACAACCATTCACATGATACTACAATATACATGTACGTAGAACATTTTCAATGGGGGAAATAGTGTTGACCAAAGAAAGAGAAGCAGCCCACGTTTACATGTTTTATGACAAAATTCGTAATAAAGAAGCATGAATTAGCGCTCTGCTAATGTATCTTACTACAAAATAATTAAAATACTAACTATGTGCGGAGAATGCTGATTCCCATCCTATAATAGTTGAATTACTCATGGAAAAAGCAAATATTGACTCTGATTATAGCACTAGGTATGGCAATGATAATGCGATGAAGGAGAGGACAGAAATGCGACTGAAGATAATCGTAATTGTGATATCAATGAAGACGATGACGACGATGATCTGTCGAGTAATTTAATGTTTATGGTGATCCCGGATATGGAGTTGAAGATGATGATGGTGAATTTTTTCCAGTCAACAGTCCTTATCCGTTGCATTCCAGTCCATCAAGAGTGTATGTCTTAGCAAAATACATTTTTACGAGGACTTCTTTTTGGAAGTCACGGTTGAAAATAAGTCAACGTGGTGTAGTGCCCTTGGGAAAGACATTAATTCTCAGTTACAGCCTAGGTCGCCGGGAAGGCTCTTCTGAGAACATTTACCTGCTTCGTATGATTGAGGCACACAGGAAATTGTCAATATGTATTAATATTTACCACGTTTCATAGTTAAACATCGAATGGAAAGAGCTTGGAAAGAGACAGAGTTGAATAAAATAAAAATACAAGAAGGGATCAAAGCCCCCTCCCCCCACACACACACATACACACACTCTAGGAAGGAAAGGGGAAAATTGGACTTTGTATTTAGTAGGAAGACTCCCTGCTACAGCAAAACACATGAACGCATTTCTCGTTTACACATAGGTCATGGAATAGCCTAACCGGTAAAACAGTTCAAGTTCAGGTGCTATTGTATATTTTTCTACAACCTTTAATAGGGAGACACGATCGGTAACAAAAATTCAATTGGGAAAGATTTGTGCTCACTGCTAAGTTCTGTAGTAAATAAGGATTTTGCAAGGGATGTTGAATTTAGACCTCTTCAATATGACACACGTCTTTTTCCTTTGTCAAATACCAATATATTCAGCTTACAGCCTTGTGGACTTGATAATTTCCCGCTTCCATGACAAAATTTGCATCTCAGTAAAGCGTAGGCCTACTTGTTCTGTATTATCCATGAATCCATCATGAAAGTAAAATATGATTTGAAGCACAGTTTTGTGATGATTACCCATACTGTGCCATTAAAGCACTGTTGTACAGACGCTGCAAGTAAATCCCATACATTATTACGCCTGGTATTATATAAAGAGTTTAAATTCTTTCGGGGATCTCCTTTTGATTATGCGGCGCCTGTTTTGGCATCGCTTCAAATACTGAATGGCGTACCATTGTGCGTGTGCATACTCCATGAATTGTATCCTCGCTGTTATTCAGTTTGTGACAAAATATGATTCGCTAAATGAAAAGGGGTTCATAGCTCATTTCTTGGCAAAAAATCAAAGACTTGAACTCATTTCGAGAGAAAAAAATGTCGTGGAATGAAATGGAGAGAGAGGGATGAATCAAGAACTGGATGGTTTTACATTCTATATGCTCAACGAAAGGCATAATAGATACAGTGTACCATTATAAATAAGAACATTTGAGCGATAAAAAGCTGCACTTGAAAAAGAGGTTGTACTCTCTCTGGCTATGGTACGACAATTGTAATATTTCTTGCTTTTCATCCAACGTGACCCCGTTCAAGAATGAGAAGAAATGGAACAGGTTATAGCCAGTATGGTTACGACATACCAAGATAAAGGTTATTACAATACGTGTGTCTATTTGGGCGTGTGTGTTTGTGTGATGTGTGTGTGCGCGTGCATGTAGGTGTGTGTGTTTATGTGTGTGTATGACCAGGGACGTGATAGAGAAGGACAGGAATCAAGCCGCTCTCCTTTGACCCCATGCTCCAAGCCGCCGAAAAGTTATGCGCTAATCTGCAACTGTTGACCAGGTGGTGAGATAAAAGAGCGCATGAAATTTCAGGATTTAGAATTCCTACATCAGAAAATGGTATCACTGCAACCGTTCGCTGTCCCTTCCAATGATTTCTCATCCATTGTTGAATGTGTAAAGAGTAGAACAAGCGAACACAAACTTGTGTACTTTCATCCTTTTTTAAACTTGAAAAATACAAAAAAACACGCGAAAACACGCATTAGCAAATTTAATGTTATTGAAGATTGTAAATCATGGATCAAATAACGGGACATTAAAGCATGCACAAATTAGCGCATCATCCTAAAATATTGAGTTTTTGACAGGATGTAATTTTTCTTTTACCAACTCTGGCACACAAATTAAAGGAAGGACGGAGTTCTAAATTTGAAAATTTGTTTGATGCACTATTCCCAATAAAATCCCCATATAAAGTTTTTGATTTACACTGAAATTTTGCCGGTAATGATATTTTGTAATAAATGTAAAACTGGTGCCTGGCTTCCGAAATTCCCCGCAGTGGAAGCGCGGTTCGGAGCATGGAACTTCAAAGCCAAGTGGAATGTTACACATCCCATTGTTACGCTTTAGAACTCAAGAATGCGTTTGAATAAATTACAAGAGTTTCGCCTCCTTTTCTTTCACCTCCCTGGTATGACTGACTGAGGGTGACTCTGTGTGCGTTTTGATATGTGTGGCATGATTAATTTTGTAAGGGATGTTATTTGGATCTGCAAAGACAGAATACCCAAATCCCAATCGTTTTATTCAAACATCACATAAGCATCACTTTGGCGCAAGCCGATTTGTGCACTCTTTGAAACAATGTCTCCTGTTCATCCTAGCGTGACCCCATACCACACAAAAATTATGCCAAATGATTTGGGATAAAACGCTCTTTCGTAAGATGTACAACAATTTAATGTTCATAAATGATTACAAAAATATTTGGCTTTTTTTTGTAGGTGTAAACACTGTAATAACGCCGATGGGACCGAGACAATTAAACTGTTGCCCATACAGTTTAAAGATAAAGTTTATATCTTTTCAGAACGTTTACATTAATTAATCTCTATGACTCTTCAGACAGATCAATAAAGTTCTAAAAAGATAAAAACTTTATCTATCAAGAATTAATCATAATTCCACTATCACTTCATTAAAAAAAAAAAGAGATGAGAAAAATACTCCATTTTATGTGTGATCATGACACTAGTAGCACTGAATTGGCAACGTTCGTGTCGGTTTGGCTGTTTTAATGATATATTATTTTGTGTAAATTTTAGAGGATTAGAATAGATATTCATAATTGTATTCATTTTTAAATGTCATTTTTCAAAATTGTATACACCAAGGATGGTGGAATGCGACCTCTACAAAGTCTGCCTAAAAATGTGTTCTGCATTTCAGAGAAATCAGGGCATCGTCTTATGAAGAGTTGCGGTTGATTCAAAGCAATCGCAAATCTTTTAATCAACCGAAAGTATGCAGTCCCCTATCCCTCATGTACATAGTTGCGATTGCTATCAATACACCAGTTTACGGTTAGGGGCGCCATTTTAATTTACGAGTAAACAAACCAAATTACCTCTAGAGGTCAGTGGTTTGTGCGTAATTAAGATTGCGCCCATGCAAATTATGATAACATCAAAGCCTGCGCGCTGCGTTGTGCGCTCACATCATAATTTGCATGGGCGCAATCTTAATTTACGCATAAATACCACTGACCTCTAGGTCATTGGATTTGTTTACTCGTAAATTAAAATGGCGCCAATATCTGTGCATGCGCACTTATGTAACCGTAAACTGGTGTATAAGGGAGTTTACAGATAGCAAATGGTACAAATGACCCTAATTATCCACAGATCTTTTACACATGGAGAAGTTCCACTTTGAGCATATTAGAATAATAACTGCCAAAGTCCTAGATGTGCTTCATGAATACCTTTTGTTTGCCCTCTTGAAAAGAATACTTCCACCTGCGTATCATAGAATGTACCGTTGGTAAATAAATGAATAATGTTACATAACTTTCATGAGCGCATATCCAGTATTCATCTCTGTGGGTTTTATCTTTTCGGTACAAATGACCTTTATCTGCCCATGCGCAGATTGTATCTGTAAACTCCCTTTAATTGCAAATAATGAGTTGCGATTAATATCAACTCTTTGTGATAAGGAAGCCCAGGTGTCAGTGTTCATTCTCAGATATACAAGCACCACCAAAAAAAAAAACATGTGACCAATTTGTTTAGTAAACAACTCATTAATCTTTATTTGTTTCTGATCATACAACGATATTTACCGATAAGGCCATAGCAATAAGACAATAAGTTGCAAAATTTGCAACTGATATTTGCAATCGAATGCAACTCAACTTTCTTGCAACGCCCAACTAGTCTCCTAAATTTGCTAGGATTTTGTAAGGATTACATTGTTAACAATTAGATTAAGTTAAGTAGATATAGCTTTTATTCCCCCCCCCCACTCTCTCTCTCTCTATCTCTCTCTCTCTCTCTCTCTTACTAATGGGGCGTTGCAAGAAAGTCAAGTTGCGATCAATTGCAAATTTGCGATTAATCGCTTACGCTTACGCTTGATTTGGGGGATTTGCAATGGATTGCAACTTTCTTGCAACGCCCAAATAGTACATGTTTATGCTTCTTCTTCTAAACGGGTTGAGTTAGTCCTTACGGTCTCTAGAGTATTATTCCTCACCTCACCTAATATATATATCTGTTTGGAACCATGCCATCGTATAATCTATTTAATAATAATAACTCTTTCATAGAACCCATAAATTACTTGCCATCATCAATGATTCAAGACATAATAAAATTATGCATGAATACCAAAACACTTAAACCAAATAAAAATATTTTGTCCGCTATATAACCATGTACAAATGAATTGGAGAGGAAATAGCCAAAATGAAAAACAAATGATATAAACACAGAGTGAGGTGGCAACAAATTAACAATGTTATACAAAATAGGGTCCTCCCATGGACCTAACACATGGACCTTCAAACCGTGCGAGGGAGGGATGCAGCCACGACCAACATTAACTGCGTCTGTATATTTATGTTTTAATGTTTTTTTCTTCTTCTTGTTTCTTGTTCTCTGATCTTGTTGTTGTTTCTTCTGTTAGTATTTTGTCCCTCTGTTGTTGTTTTTTGCTGCAATTCACAAGACCTGGTCAGAATTGTTAAAATATTGTTGCATGGCATCTGATTTTTCTATTCAAATGTTATTTTTGATGTGCTATATAATATAAAGATATGAATTACATTAAACAAAGAGATAACATTTTCTTAGATTAGATTATATACACTGTCTATTTACAATTTATGTATTTTTATGATCAGTATGTTAAAAGAAAGTATGTTTCAGTTGATTATCAACTATGATATAATATGCTCCAAGTACGTTTGTAAACAAGAAAAAGAAAACAGTTTGTAAAACGATGTTACGCTAAAAAAAAAAAAAAACGAAATTCTTCATGACCTCGCTTTTAGAGCTCACTAAAACGATATCTGTAAGACACTTCTGATACTGCACGGTCAGACGGGGTTAGCTTTCGGTCTGCATCTCACAACCACTATGAGGAGGAGTACGACGACGTCGAGACAAGCTAATAGTTTAAACGTTGCGTCGTAAGACGAGAAGTGATCCGCAATCATGCCTACAAAAACAATGAGAGAAATTTAAATAGACCATGTTCATACGAATACCAATGAATGAATCCTTTACATTACATTCTTTTGATCAATCATTAGTTTGTTTTCATTTCATTCAGTGTGTAATCTTATTAAAACCTGAGCGGAATGTTCTTTTTCTTTAGAAAGAGTGATCCACAATTCAATCCAATCTATTTGTTCAAAATTAACACGAGGCCCTATAATCACTTGATGCGCAATGAAAAATTCACCTGTGAAGATTCTTTCCATGACATAATGTGTAAGTAAGTATTAATTTGATGATGACTATTCGATTTCAAGACATAGTAATATATATTAATTTGAACCCCCCCCCCCACACGAGATTGTCTTTGTCTGCATACAGCTCCCTATAACTGCTGCCTTCTATCGCCATCATTCTACTAGTTGTCTGCTTTTGACATCTGGTATAATATGTCTTCCTCCAATGGGCGTGGCCTTGATATCCAAGGCTTCTATTCATACGTCAATTCATCCCACAATAACCGGTATGAAACTATACTTCAAACCTACTAAAATATTTTAGCCCTCATTCTTTCTTTTTTTGTAGTAAATAACATTGTAGGATTAAACAGTTAGAGCTATTCAGTTCTTAATCATGTCATAGTAATTTAATTCCAAAACAACGGTAATAATCTTGGGGAGGACCTCGTCAGTGACCTCGCTTTGTGGTCTAATCCCTTATGGCCCGGTAGTATTGACGGCCTTTAACGAAGGTTATGAATCGGATTTCAAAAACTTTCTGGAAGCATCATGAAAACAATGTAAACAAATATTTTATTCAATTAAAATTATTTTAAAAGGCATTTTTTTAAAATTGTGATTGTTTAAGGAAATGTATTTGAATGGCCAATTTTTAAATAGGATTGTATGCGAATTAAGGGCTGATTTTAACATATTCTTTTTTAGCCGGGGGGGGGGGGGCACAGGGGGCCCGTGGCTGATTAGGACACTGCTAACGTTTACATTTCACAGATAGGACATACATGACATATTCATAATTCCTGCAAAGTTCTACAGAATTTGAGGTTGGCTGCAAAGGGGACATAGTATCTTTAATGAAGGTTATGGATCGGATTTCAAAAAAATCTGGAAGCATCATGAATACAATGTAAAACATTATTTTATTCAATTCAAATTATTTTAAAAGGCCATTTTTTAAACAGAATTGTAGTGATTCTTTACCACATAAATAGCCGCCAAGAAACACCCCGAATCCGATAAACATTTGGTCGACTGCATACGCGACATCAAACTTCTCGGGAGACGCTCTATCCCTCAGAACCAGCTGATGTAACACCGACCGAACTCCTATCGACATTGCGGAGATACATGACGTCGACAACATGACGTAGTAGTTGACGAAATAAACATCGCAAAGAAGAGCGGCGATGTTCAGGATTGTAGCGAAGAGATAGAGAGTGACAGGTTTGACGAGGCCGTTGGTAAGGACGCCTGCCGCAAGCCTGCTTAAGGAATTCCCTATTGCAGCAGAGAAAGTGATGATAATGGTGTTCCGGACAGAGATCCCCCTCTGCAGAGCATGAGGTACAAGAAAGGAGTGCCAACCGCTCCAAACCATACAAAGCGCGAAACCTAAACCAAATATCACATTTAACACAGGATCCACGTAAAAATCTGATTGGCGGAGGCTGTTGGCGATTGTACGAACAACTCCAATATCGTCACTGTTGTCACCTTTCAAGAAAATTCAATAGTAAAGGCAGAAAAAATGAATAAACAAGTAAATGAATATCAAAAATACATTTGGCATGTTTTTTCCTCTAATTTTACAGTACACATGGTTCATGAAGGCAGGCGCGTACACAGGGGGGGGGGGTATTTGGGGGGTTAACCCCCCCCCCCCCCTTGGTTTTTTAATGTGTGTAACCCCCCCCCCCCCCCCCCCCTTTGGATTTTTAAAATATTTTTTATTTTTTTAATTATTAAAAAAAAAAAAAAAATATTCCCATGGCTGACCTAAAAAGGTGACCTTACCCCCCCCCCCCCCCCCAGTGGAGCGAAATGTCAAATTTTTAAATTTCTAGACCAAAAAAAAAAAAGTGTCCTCTTACCACCCCCCCCCCCCCCCCCCCCCCCCCCCCCCCCCCCCGCGTATTCAGCGGCTGGCTGAGTCGTTGCGAAATTTTCGGCCCGATTTATAAATGTTAACCCCCCCCCCCCCTTGAAAAAATCCTGCGTACGCGCCTGCATGAAGGTCTAATATTGTAATACCATTATTAAGTTAAAATGATACAGAAATAGACGATATTATTCAAAATTCCCCTCTTTTCACAAAGGCCCATATATCATTCAAAGAGTAGGAAATTGTATGAGTATTAAGCTGTATATAATTAGTTTCCTGGTCTCTTAACACAGTTAGGCTTTCGAAACCCTCGACCGTTTCCAAAAGAAGAAAATCTGTTTCCGAGGTGGCGCAACTGAATTATCAGTCAAATTATTTCTGTTAAAGTCTGACAGGGTAACATCTTGCTGACAACAAATTTATAATTTATGCCAGTCTTCTTAGTCTAGACAATCTCGGCTACAGCACACGAGACCGACAGCCCACGAGACTTACGATGTAGGTCTAGCGAATCTTCTGACAAACTGTCACCATGGCCGAAGGCCTATGAGACCAAAAGGACACAAGACCGACATGTTGGACTTCTTGGCCTTTTGACATCATTTTTAAAGGTTCACGAGACCGATAATGTCGGTCGCATAAAACTGCCGGTCTCGTGGGCCGTCTACTAAGATTATTCGGTCGAGCTCACCTTTTGTGTTCTGACAGGTGCTACTTTTGCATTCTTCTCCCTCGTTAACCCCTGGGAGCGAACTTGGGACACGTCGAAAACCTTTTCTCTGCTTGCTACTGTCATCTGAATGAAACTTAATTGCCATGGCAACTGGGATAATATGTGCCATCAGCGCGCTAATGATGAGCAGTCCTCCTCTCCAACCGTAAGCTTGACGTAAGAATTCAGCTAAGAGCGGTAACAGAACCATTCCGGCACCATATCCAGTCATACCAAGGCTGTAAATTAGGTTGAAATTCTCCTTAGCCACATGGTGCAATGTCATGGTACAACATATCATTACTATACAGTTTCCAAGACCTGTTTAACATCAAAAGAAAATATGTGGGACGATTTATATTGAAGTATTATATCTAGGTATAAAGCATAATAATAATAGTAATAATATTTAATTTGTATATAGCGCTTAATACAAATGTCTCTAAGCGCTTTACAAATATACTATTACCCCGGTCATTGGATTCAGTGCTTGTCCGCACACACTGTGTGCACAATCTCCATTCCCTGGAGAGCATTCCAGCCGGGCGTTACTTGACGCTCACAAGTGACCAACAATGACTTTACCATAATCACTTAATTAGATGTACGCCATGATTCAGAAAAGGTATATCATAATGTATCAATATTCCAGCTTTCTGATTTGGCAGAGCTGCAGGCTTTCAGCTATTGTACCACTGCGTCTAAATTACTAGACAATAGCGAACAATATAGCCGGCAGTTTCTATTTTGTGCATCAAACAATTAGAAATAAATGCACATAATGTTTACAGTGTAAACGCACGATAAAATGTCAGCAGTACGCAAACTATTTCTTTGGAGATATTCGATATTCGATATTAAGCGAAAAAAATGATTTGATGAGAGTAAGTTAATTTACTTTCCCCTTCGAACTCTTAAAGGGATCGTTTAACGATGTTAAACCTGAGATGCACGGCTCTACATGTTCTTAGTTTTTGTGATTTGGTATTATATTGAAGCCCTACAAAATTGCGCTTCAAAATGAACAAGAAGTGCTTCAATGAAGTAACAATCTTTGAGTGACCGGTTTTACCATACTTGTTTTCCCCTATAAACTGTAGTGTTATGAAAACCGTTTGGCAAACGCAAAATTTGATTTCGATTTTTAATCATTAATATCTTGATAATCAGACAGGCGATCAGCTTGTAAACGTCATGAGGTTCCTGACTGACCTAAGGGTTTATTATTATCATTGCAGCATGAGCTAAATCAATTTTTTTTTAAAGGATCTTAAAGAAAGTTACCGGATCCCTTTAACGAAAAAAATATAATGTAATCAACTGTAAGGTTTTAAAAAAAGAAAAGAGTGTAAACATTTTTAGTAGGTTCAATGTACAATTTCTTACCGGCTATTGACAGATAGATTGTTATTTGAGCGTTGCTGGTTGCCATGGATGTCAAAGCCACGCCCAATGGAGGGAGACATGTACCGGATATCAAAAGCAGACGACGAGTCGAATGGTGACGATAGAGGGCAGCAATGATCGGACCTGTATGCAGACAAGAACACTCTCAGGGTATTCAAATAGTCATCATCAAATAAATATTCATTTAGTATTATATTACAATAATATTATTATCATCGATTATTTAGGAGAGCTATAAAGTGGGTCCGTTACCGATTCCGAGAGGAATATGCTCAATTGCTCATTACTGTAATTCCACTCGAAAATTGTGAAAAATGAGCTTTACTTCGAGAAAAATCCGCCCAAATGACCCTTAAACATGGGTAGGGGCTTCGAACCAAATCTGAGTGCCTCCCCCCCCCCCCCGGATTTAAACATTTGAATTTGTTGGTGCTTTGAAATAACCATAGTTGCCAAATGTGCAAATTCTGTGATCTATATTGTTATGGACTGTTGCACATTTTATGATGTGCAACCCATGTCATACAGTTTGGTAGCAAATCAATTTGTAAGTAATTTTCAGTTCACTCCTGAGTTTTACACTTTAGAATTAAAGTGACTAAGTGAGTATAGTTAGGTAAAGCTTCTTAGAGCTTGTAGTTACAATCAGGGCTTAAATACATTTTTTGTCCACGGGGGCTCTTCACCCCCAAAAAGAGCCCTCGTGAGCCTTCTCACGTGGGCAATCAATTCTTAACTTTTCCTTTGTTTTCTGCCGTAATTAGTTACTGCTCAATTTTCAAACGTGTGAACGTGTCATTTTTGTTTGAGAAACACATTTTGAAGATATCTAGTACATGTTTAGGTACTTCCCAGACGGAGACCACGGAATTCAAAAACTAAGCAAGAAAACAGGCCTCGGCCCATGGTCTGATAGGAATAATTGAGATTACTTTCTCACCTGGAAAGTGGCTGAATGCAAAGAGGAGACCAAGAGCAATTCCGATATCCGTCGATGTAGTTCCAATACTAATGTTGATATCTTCCAAGTAAATTCCAATGGTCTTGATAATACCTACAATATTGGTTGTCCTTAAGAAGGTACACACCACCAAAGGTAAACTTGGAGAAGTTAAAATCTCATGAAAACGACCCATGGTAGGCTATGGTCAAAACATTACACCATAAATGAACGTTGTGCTTCACTTATGGTAGCTGGTTAACTGGTTAACTGGTATACGCTAGCAAGCTACTGCTCCTGTGCTTCTTCATGCCCATTGGACTGTGCCCAGGGGCGTCGCCAATGGGGGGGGGGGGGGGTATGGGGAGGGGTGCGACACCTCTTCCCCCACCTGTCAGGATATTGTTGGTAAATTTGCGCTGCCGTCGGGAAAAAGAGAAAAGTGGGAGGAAAAAAAAGAGAGGGAAAAAAAGAGAGGGAAAAAAGAGTGGGAAAGGGAAAGAAAAAAAAAAGAAAAGGAAAAGAATAGAAAAGAGAGAAAGGAAAAGAAAGGAAAGAAAGGAAAAGAAAGAAAGAAAAGAGAAGGAAGAAAGAGAAAAACTAAAAAGAGGGAAAGGGAAACAAAAGAAACGGGGGATGAAAGAGAGGAGAGAGAGTCTGAGAGAGGAGGAGTGGGAGTAAAAGAAAGAAGGGGGTTGTTGGATGGAGTCGTCTCGTCGAGGGAGCAAGAAAGACACGGTTAAATACGTTGCTGTGTCGGGTCAGCTGTGTCGGTATTATTCCTCGTGTACTATATCAATACAGAAGTTTGAAGTCGGTGAGATGTATATTGTCGGTCGGCCTACAAGTTTTTTTCCCTACGAACTGTGACTTCTTATCCTCTGTGACGACTTCGAGAGAAACTGAATTCAGACAAGGATTAAGAGTCGGGCACGGTTCAACGAATCGTCTACTTTCTCTAATAGTTGAATGAAACGCCAAAACTTCCAAGCTTCGTGCGGGAGGGGGGGGGGGGGACTTCATTCAGACAAGGATTAACAGTCGAGAACCGTACAATAAATCGTCTTCTTTTCCTAATAATTTAAGGAAACGTCTAAGCTTCCGCGCTTCGAGCGGGAGGCCTATCCCCCACACCCCCTAATGAGCGCGCTTTCCGCGCTCTTTAGGTGATTCGCTTGCTCACGACTGCCCCTCCCTAAAATGATGCTGACCAAGTTGATGAACAAATTCGTATATTGTTGTCGTCGAGGAAAATGACCATTTGCGCATATGCAAGTATTATAGACAGTCCATAGGAAACACAATTTAGCCTTCGGCCCCGGGTTAATAGGGTTGAATTTGTAGATATTTGGACATTTCATTTTGTCGGTAATTGGTGGCTAGTTTTGTCGGTAATCGTTGGCCTCTACACCCCCCCCCCCACACACACACACTGAAAAGGGTCTAGCGACGTCCCTGAGCGCCGTTTTAGCATGACTTTCTTTTTAACTCTCACTCTCACCTATCCCAGATAACCCTAAGTTTTTTGTTGCTGCTTTATATGTAGTTGATAATGCATGATTGAAATAGAGAGAGAGAAAGAGAGAAAGAACCTCTGTCATTATGCAATAGTTCAGGGTTTGTGTAATGTACATTTAAAACCATTTCCTAGCGTGTCTACCAAATAAATAGCGAAATTATTTTTGAGGAAAAGCATTATACTGAACTGAATAAAGAATAATAACTTTATATTGGCTCATACTAATACTGATACGGGCTAAAGACAATGTGGTATCGGTACAGTAAGATCGAGTATTTGTATAGAGGTATTCTTTTGTTCTGTTATCAGAGGTATATACGCATAATACAACTAATCTTTATGATTTCTTAACGTGACATAGCTTCTTCTCCCCCCTGCAAATAAAAAAGAAAACAAGGTTATTTAATAAAAGGATCATGCGACAAATTGATCATTGTGATTCAAATTGATGCAAGATTTTTTTTTTGAATAAGCAATGCTCTTCACCAGAATCTTCTTTGTAAAAAGGACCTTTACAAATCTCAGCCATGCAATTCTGCCACTGTGTTGTAAGATCAATTTCAGATTAGGAGAAGTGTATTCTTTAATGAGTCAAAAGGATGTCAAAAGGCCGAGAAGACGAACATGTCGGTCTTGTGTCCTGTTGGTATCATGGGTCTTTGGCAATGTTTTCAGATTCGCTAGACCTACATCGACTGCATGAATTATAAATTTGTTGTCAGCAAGATGTTATCCTGTTAGACTTAAACAGAAATGCTTTGATTGATAATGCAGGTGCCCCACCTCGGAAACAGATTTTATTTACTCATACCATTTTCTACTCTTTGAATGATATGCAGGTCTTTGTGATAAGAGGGTAATTTTAAATAATAATGTCTATTTTTGTATCATTTTATCTTTAAAAATTGGTATAAGAAAAATTAGACCTTCATAAACCATGTGTACTGTGAAATTTAAGAGGACAAAAAACATACCAAATGTATTTTGGAAATTCAATTACTTGTTTATTCATTTTTTCTGCTTTAATAATCAACTCTTCTTGAAAGGTGACAACAGTGACGATATTGGAGTTGTTCGTACAATCGCCAACAGCCTTCGCCAATCAGATTTGTACGTGGATCCTATGTTCAATATGGTACTTGGTTTAACTTTCGCGCTTCATATGATTTGGAGTGGTTGGCACTCCTTTCTTGTACCTCATGCTCTGCAGAGGGGGATCTCTGTCCGGAACACCATTATCATCACTTTTTCAGCTGCAATAGGGAATACCTTAAGCAGGGTTGCGGCAGGCGTCCTTACCAACAGCCTCGTCAAACCTGTCACTCTCTATCTCTTCGCTACAATCCTGAACATCGCCGCTCTTCTTTGCGATGTTTATTTCGTCAACTACTACGTCATGTTGTCGACGTCATGTATCTCCGCAATGTCGATAGGAGTTCGGTCGGTGTTAGGACAGCTGGTTGTGAGGGATAGAGCGTCTCCCGAGAAGTTTGATGTTGCCTATGCAGTCGACCAAATATTTATCGGATTCGATTTGTTTCTTGGCGGATATTTATGTGGTAAATAATCACTACAATCCTATTTAAAAATTGGCCATTCAAATATATTTCCTTAAACAATCACAATAAAAAAAAAAATGACCTTTTAAAATAATTTTAATTTAATATAATATTTGTTTACATTGTTTTCATGATGCTTCCAGAAAGTTTTTGAAATTCGATTCATAACCTTCATTAAAGACCGTCAATACTACTGGGCCAGGACCACAAAGCGAGGTCACCGACGAGTGGCTATCTCATTAACTCAGTTCTCAAATAACGTAAGAAAAAGAGGATCATGGGGGACCAACAGGCACCGATTTGGGAAGTTTTCTATATAGAGGGAGCAAGTAGCTACAAGTAGGACAGTGGGACTTTAAAGCAAAAATAATGATTTGAAAAGAGCAGCCTAATCTTAATATTGCACCCTCCCCTAGATTCTTACCGTTGTTTTGGAATTCAATTACTATGACATAATTAAGAACTGACTAGTTCTTACTGTTTACAAAGTCTTACATTGTTATTTACTACAAAAAAGAAAGAATGAGGGCTAAAATATTTTAGTAGGTTTGAAGTATACTTTCATACCGGTAATTGTGGGATAGATTGACGTATGGGCGATGCTAGAAGCCTTGGATATCAAGGCCACGCCCATTGGAGGAAGACATATTATACCAGATGTCAAAAGCAGACAACTAGTAGAATGATGGCGATAGAAGGCAGCAATTATAGGGAGCTGTATGCAGACAAAGACAATCTCGGGTGGGGAGGGGGGGGGGGGGGGAGGGTAAATTACTATGCATTACTATCTATTGAAATCGAATAGTCATCATCAAATGAATTTTCACTTACACAATATATGTCATGGAAATAATCTTTACAGGTGAATTTTTCATTGCGCAACAAGTGATTAAAGTTGCTCAAGCTTGGGTATATAGAATATGCGTACGTCCGTACAGGAGCGTACATGTACAACCCGTTTGCTCAGTGTTCGCCAAGTTGCCTACTTCACGAACGACTCTATACCGACGCATGAACATCTTTAAAGGGCCTCGTGTTCATTTTGAAGAAATAGGTTGGATTGAATTGTGGATCACTATTTCTAAAGAAGAACACTCCGCTCAGGTTTTAATAAGATAACACAATGAATGAAATAAGAGCAAACTACTGATTGATCAAATGACTGTAATGTAAAGGATACATTCAATTATTTTTATTCATATCAATCATATGGTCTATTCAAATTTATCCCATTGTCTTTGCAGGCATGATTGCATATCACTTCTCGTCTTACGACGCAACGTTTAAACTACTAGCTTTCATCGACGTAATCGTTCTCCTCCTCATAGTCGTTGTGAGATGCAGACCAAAAGCAAACCCCGCCTGACCTTGCAATACATATAGCTCCGTTTAGTCTCATTTGACAAGGCCCCCTATCGTCAGTGTCCAGCAGCCTATAAACATGTTAGCCTATGGACTTTTACCCCCAAAAATCGTTAAAAAAAAAAAAAAAAAAAAAAAAATTGTTTAAACGAAAAGCACATCCACCCCGACGTACGTTATCATTAGCTCTATTATTGGAACCAGCGCTCAAAATACACGGGGGCGGTGAGCGATTTGCCTCCGTGAGATACATAATCGCCCCCGTCAGGTTGCTTACGGGGGCGATTGCAAAATTAAAAATCGCCCACGTGGAATTATAAATTAAAGATTATCTTTTCTGTTATAACTATATAACAATATTGAGTTTCAATTTTCAAACCTTAAACGAATGAAATGGAACTTAGATAGCGTGCAAGATTTCTCGTTCTATATTACCAATTCAGCTCGCAGTGCAGTCCCGCCGTCAGCAGTGGTTATAGGCCTACTGCGCCATTAGTAACGGTACGTGTGCACGCTGCCGCGCCATGTCTGCTGGATCTATGGAGGCGATCGCGCAAAGGCAGAAACATGGTCATGGAGAAGTTTTTCGTTGTGAAAGCGTAAACCCGCTGAAATCTTGTGATTTCAAATGAGCAGCAAATAATAAACCTCGACCAGTAAATCAATATTAGGGACTTTTAGATTTGCACGATGAGAACGTGGACTGCAACGTGTGACCTAGCTCATTCTAAGCCACTGCCAGTGCTTAAAAGGACGTCACATGTGACTGCTAGTGCCTTAAAAGGACGTAACACGTCCTCGTCCACGCAAATCTAAAAGTCCCTAATGAAAAGAAGAGGAAGACCAAGATGTCGTGGAATGATATGGTAACATGGGCAGATCTACGGGAGGGGGGGGGGGGGGGGGTAGGGGGTTTAACCCC